CAGGGAGAATTGGAAGCGCCCGAGGAGTCGCCTACCCTCCCGGTAGAGGAATCCCAGGGAGAATTGGAAGCGCCCGAGGAGTCGCCTACCCTCCCGGTAGAGGAAACCCAGGGAGAATTGGAAGCGCCCGAAGAGTCGCCTGCCCCGGTAGAGGAAACCCAGGGAGAATTGGAAGCGCCCGAAGAGTCGCCTGCCCCGGTAGAAGAGCCGCAGGGAGAATTGGAAGCGCCCGAAGAGTTGCCTGCCCCTGTGGAAGAGCCGCAGGGAGAATTGGAAGCGCCCGAAGAGTTGCCTGCCTCTGTGNCGCAGGGAGAATTGGAAGCGCCCGAAGAGTTGCCTGCCTCTGTGGAAGAGTCGCAGGGAGAATTAGGAGCGCCTGAAGTCGTGCCTGCCGCTGTGGAAGAGTCGCAGGGAGAATTGGAAGCGCCCGGAGAATTGCCTGCCCCTGTGGAAGAGTCGCAGGGAGAATTAGAAGCGCTTGAAGTGGTGCTTGCCCTTGTGGAAGAGTCGCAGGGAGAATTAGAAGCGCCCGAAGTGGTGCCTGCCCCTGTGGAAGAGTCGCAGGGAGAAGTGGTGTCTGCCTCTGTGGAAGAGTCACAGGGAGAACTTGAGACGTCCAATGTGGTGGCTGCCTCCCCTGTACAAGGGCCGCGAGGAAGAATAATGTATGCCTCCTTTCTCGTGGCCACGATGGCGATTGTGCTCTATGCTTGGCCTCCGAGACGTTGTTCCTGGCTTGCGACGGTATACGAAGCGTTCTCTGCCCGCTCTCGTTTCGTTCTTTACATCCCACGTTCTACCCGATGATCTCTTCGTCACTGCGCATTTTTATACACTCAGTTCGGCAGGCCGAGGCGGCAAAATTCACAGCCTTATGCTTCGGGATTGTTAGCGAGCACGAGTATACTAGACTCTAGAAAGAGACATCGATAGACATCGAATCAATAACGTAGCCAGTCATCAGATCGATTCATTTGTAGGTATCGGCGTTGGAGCCCTGTTAAAGCTGGATCCAGGCTCAATGGTAGAACAGCTGTCCTCACGGACGGCGCTGGACGAGTTTCTTCGCCTGAGATAGATGGTGGTGACTAAATGAAGTTGGACCGTTTCCTGGAAGGTTGGGTGACCTGGTTTCGATAACGAGTTGGGCTTGCCGACTTCTTGGAGAGATGGTGAAGGATCTGTGTTTGAACTTGGTCAGGGAGGTTCAGGAGAGAGGAAGCACTTCAACCCTTCCAAGGTTAGGAATACTACCTGCAGTCTGCACCTACGCGGCTCCATCCAACCGCCATCATATCCCACTCAGAAAAGACAAGAGTGCCTCCACGCCAGAAATCCCTTGAAATTCAAGTGATAGATTTCTTTAGGTGCTCCTGGACATTGCCAATCCCGACCCTTTTCGGCATGACGCCTGGAGACAAAAGGCATTTGCTCACTCAACAAAATCCCATTGCCCAATCTGTAAACAATGGGCAGTCTAACCAAAATCACTGCTCTAGAAATCATGAATACGATATACTCAGTCCAATCACGAAACATGCTCCTTCTCCTCCTCCTTCGGAATCCGTACCCAAACGAGCACGATAAACGCCGCAACCAACTGCGTCGCAAACGCAAACCACCAGATATCCCGCAGCCCCTTCAACCCAATACCTCCCTGTCCATCAGGGTCAACTCTCGTCCCAATCGCATCGGCAATACTCGTCATGATCGCCGAGGACAGGTTCTGGTTCGTCACTAGCAGACTCGCCGCACTGCCCTGGTACGATCGTGAGACATTACTGGTAATGAAGATCGACGCGGCGGCGAAGGCGAGATCAGGACCGAATGTTACCAGCACGACGCCGGGAAAGGATAGCGCCCAGTAATTTGTATTGGACGTCTGGGGGATGAAGAACACGGGGCCCATGGTGAAAGCGAACATCGCAGCGGTATAGATATAATGGCCAGGGAAAATATGCAGGGTTCGGCTAACGACCCAGGTTGCAAAGATGCCGACGAGGGCGTTAGGGATGAAATACAGCGCGACCGTTATAGGTGCGGCACCCTGGATACGGAGCCAGAACTGCGTGACGTAGAACTGCCACGCTCCGAAGAAGGAGCCGAACCCGAAGAAGTATGCGGCCATCAACGCTGTGAATCCCGGCGTCCGCCAGAGGCGGTTCGGGATGAGCGGGCGCGGCGCCTTACTTTCCCAGAAAAACAGGGCAACGAGCAGCAAGACCCCGACGATGATGAGCACGTACGTGTATGGAGACCAAGCCGCAACTGGACCTTGCGTGAGTCCAAAGAGAAGACAAACACAGCCTCCCGCCGCGCAAGCCGCTCCGATATAATCGAACTGGCGCAGAGATGGTGGCTCGCCGCCAGCTACATCGGCCGCGGGTCGAAGAGACGGAATACTGAAGAATGCAGCGACGCCGCAGAGAGCGCAGAGGATGGCGTTCGTGCCAAATATCCACTCGAGATGCGCGGACAATGCACCTCCCTGCAACGCACCAAGCGAGTATCCCAGCGGCGCTGTCGCCGCGATCGCAGAGAAGACCCTGTTCTTGCGAATCCCCGGGTTGTATAGACGACCCAGCACGCTCATACTCCCCGATACTAGCACACCAATCGCGAGGCCCTGCATGGCCCTGACAACAAAGAAAAGGATATACCGCTCACGGGTAAGCGAGAACGCCCCGACGGCATTCCACACCGCAAGCCACGCATACGCACTCACCATGAGCAGCTTCGGGGGCGCCAAATCCGCGAGCGAGCCCGAAACAACAACGGACAACCCATTCGCCGTGTTGAACGCTCCCACGATCCACGGAAGCTGCGAGTTGGAGATGCCCAGAGCATCCCTGATCGGCTCCTGCGGCGCAAGCATATCACCCAGGAAGAAAGAGAACAGCATCAGACTGATCGAGCACACGCCGACCATGAACAACTCGGCCGTTAGCCCGGAGAGCTCAGGCGGGACCCCCTGCTTGCTGGGCTGCACGGGCGACGCAGCCTCCGAGTCGCTCTCCTGCCCTCCGGCTCCATTACCGGTAGGCCGAGACGCAGAAGGCCTCCGCTGCTGAAGACCAATCTCATTGTTGATTTCGAGTGTCGCGATGCGCGAAATAGGCGTCTTTTTGTTCCCCAGCAGCGGATCAGGAGTCTGTGCTCCTGTCACCGGCGTACCCCAGCCCGGCGTGCTAGCAATAGAAGACCAGCCGGGCGTTGGTGGTGCAGTCGAGTCGCCGCCACTGCCGTTGCCGCCGTAAGGGTCGCGGGATGCCGATGCAGATGCAGAGGGCACTGGCTCGGTAACTTTCACGGTCGCAGCAGCGCCGTCGCCGTGGCTTGGGCTTGGGGGCCGTGCGTCGGCGGCTGGATTTCCCATCTTGCTCGCTGAAATTTCGATATGTGCAGGATCCAAAATCCAGGATTAAGAAGATATTTCCACCCCGGTTTAAGTACTCAATCTCAAAAATTGTGCGATTATCTAACAACCTGAACCACCCAGGGTGGCGTACCCTGTGGAGATCGGAGTCAGTCTAGCAGAGACGGTCATGGCAATTATTGCACATCATAGGTGCTTGATAAGTGAGTGAGAGGCAAAGAAAAAAAAATATACGGTGAGTCTCGGAATTTCTCCTATAGATACGGTACTGGGACGGCCCTCTGCGGCGGTTAATTAAGAGGAATTAGGGCAAGCCGGTGGCCACCATCCGACGCCGGCTAGACAAAGCTGTGGGCGCCATCGTCCTTAGTTCGAGTTCGGACCGACCGATCATCACAGTTTAGTGATGAATGATCTCCGGCTCCGTGATGTGATGAGCAGAGCAGGCAGCAAGCTCCGGTGATCATTGATGAGCAGCATGAGCATCGGTCATCGGATGTTTGGTGACGCGTCGCTGGCCTCCTGGGACTCGTCAAAGTTGAGGCTGTCTCAGAGTCACTCACGGAGTCACGGTCGTCCTCCGAAGTATACATACAGCGTGTTGTTCTTGAATAACCGAGTTGCTTTTAACCGTTGAACAGCTAACTAGCTCGGACTTAGGGCTGCTAATTGCAATGTGAATGCTGAAGGATTCTTCAAGGGTGCCCGATTGCTGTCTAACTGACTTGATTAATGTAGTCTACTCCGCAGTCTTGTTCTGGACCGCAGAAGCTTGATTAATTAAGGGTCTAACCGACAATTCTTCCTTTAGCTTGAGCTGGAAGATAAGGTTTAAATTAAAGATGCAACGACTCTTATATGAAGAACGACATTCCAGATCATTATTAAAATATTAGGTAGATGAAAAAAACAAGACACTCGGACAAGAACACAGAAGGCCAAGTCGAAGCAAAGTCGTGTGGCATACAAGAAACGAAATGAAAGGTTCGTTCGTAATCCAAGAAACGACGTCATCAATCGCCATCTTGTCTTTAACCGTGTAGGTGTGGTATAGTATAGCCGTATATTGTTCGTTCAGTCGTGGTGCGTCTCGCGACGCCCGTAATTAAGATTAGCGTACTCGTAGCAGTAGTTGTCAACATCGCGGTGCTGTCGGTAGGCACCGGTATATGTCGGATATTTTTTGGTGTTCCATAAGCCCAGTATGGGAGACGCGCGTTGCACCGGAGATGCATGCCGTCATCAAGATCGGCACAGCAGATCACCAGCCCCTTAGTAGTTGCCGGTGTACGCAGAGGTCCCGCCGTACCCTGGAGCCGGGGCCGCAACAGCCCCGTCTACGGGCTCATTCCTGCGACCGAAACGGTTGAACCACCCCTGCTTCTCGGCGGGAGCGACACCAGCACCAGCTGCGGTAGGACCAGTCTCCATGTCGTGAGGGGTAGGGTGAGCGGGAAGCATGTTGTCGCCGGTAACTGGCTCTGGGGCAGCCTTGTTGCGGCGCCAGAAACCACGCTTTTGAGTGCCGTAGGTGTATCCGTTGGTGGGGGAGGGGCCGAAGCGCTTCTCGCGTCTGTGGTGACGTCCGAGGAGGAACTGGAAGAGGATGGAGATGAGGAAGAAGAAGCTATCGCGATGCGGGTCAGCTGGCTGTTCATTTATTTTGGGAAAAAAAGACGCTCACATTCCAATGATGGAAACCGCGAAAACAACTTTCTCCAGCATGCAGGCATAGCCGTAGTCAATGCCAGCTGGGGAATCGGTCCCGTCACGCCCTGTTCCAACCGGTCGGGTATCGATCACACCGGAGCAGTGGTTTGTTCCATCGCGGGTCAAGATGGCGATGGCGATCATGGCACCGACGAAGCAGACGTCGAGGATTATGGCAATCGCAGCGAAGAAGGTGAAGCCGCCCAAGCAGCAGGTGAGGAGGGATCCAATGAGGGAATAGAGGGTCGCTGCGCCCGAAAGACCCTCAACGGCCTTCATCCATGTCGGAATATGCAGGTCATGATGCGCGAGCTTGGCCAGGAAGTAGGAATAGATTCCTAGGATGACTGCAGATGCGAGGAACTGCAGGACCCGAATGGCCAGGTTGAAGAAGCGGAGGACGATACCCCCGGCGCCCATGATGTTGAGTTTATAGATGGCTGGTGATAAATGTAATGTAGGTTCCTTATCGATTCGCTATCCAAGAAAGTAGAGGCGGTCCTTTGGAGAAGCGAAGGATGCAGCTAGCGGGGAGAGATGATTTAAAGGAGCGACCAACGGCGTCACGGTCAAAAGGCAGCAAAATTCCATTGTCGTTTGTCGGTGGCTTGTCACAGGCTCCAGGGGTTGGGGTGCCGCAGCTGGAAGATCAGTGGACGGTTTCTGGGTCATCCACGCGGATCGCAGCTTTTCTCGTTTCTTACAGGCCGTCCACCGTTGTTCTGGGCAATAGTGAAGCTCTGGCCCACAATAATGACGAAGTCAAAGATGGCGAAAATTAGGGACTTTGCGACGTTGGGTTGACGACTCCGAAGGACAGATGAAACCCCAGCCACAATCGTGACATCATCAGTCTGCTTTTGGGAAGTTGAGTGGCTGTGATTCAGCACAGCCTTGCTACATAACGCATAAATGAGCATAAAAAGCTTATGAATTGCGCATTCCTGCTAAGAAAAGTATATGAAAACAGAATGACTTCATGACCCATGTCGCACTCCGTGGCCGCCAACGCTTGAACGCCATTACCAAAGCAACTGAAATCATGCCTGTGGATCAACCAGGATCTTGCAGTGCGTGTCTCTGTCCTGCAGAAGCGTCTTGAATCCCTTCTCCACCACATCTTCCAGCTTAATCTTATCCGTAATCATGGGCTCCGGTTTCAGGAGACCCTTGGAGATGGCGTCGATAGTATCCCTGAACGACTGCTCGTCGTAGAGTGCTGAGCCGAGATACTTGACTTCATGATACATCATCTCGTTGACCTTGATCTGCGGCTTCTTCTCCCACACCGCGACGTTGACAACTGTGCCATGGACGCGGCAAGCACCAATGGCTCCATCGAGTGCCTTTTCCACGCCGGCCGTATCAAAGACAACATCTGCGCCGATGCCATCGGTCAATCCGCGCACGTTTTGTGGGATGTCGACTTCCCTAGGGTCGAGGATATGCGTGGCGCCAAAGTATTTTGCGGACTTCTTGCGGGTCTCCGTCAGTTCTGCGACGATAGTGAAATTGGCGCCTCGCATCTTCAGGACTTGCAAGATAGAGAGACCTAAAGGTCCGCCTCCGACAACCAGGACGTTGTCGCCTTCCTTGAATGGAGATAGGTTGACAGCGTGCCATGCGACCGCCAGCGGTTCAATCAGAGCAATAGATTCGGGGGCAACATTGTCAGGAATAGGGTAGAAATGTTCTGCGGGTGCGACAATCTTCTCGGCGAAACCACCACCGTATCCTGATTATCTGTTAGCGAATTGGCCAGCCGGCAAGCTTGGGAGAGGGCATACCAGATAGTCCGACAAAGCCAATGTTATCGCAGCAGTACTCGTAGCCGAGTTTGCAGGGAGGGCATTTTCGGTCGAAGATTGTCGGGCGCACAACGGCCTTCTGTCCCGGCTTGAGGTTTGTTACGCCTTCTCCCACTTCTTCAATAATCCCACCGAACTCATGGCCCATAACAACCGGCGCTGTAGCTTTGGTAATGTGGTGTGCTCCTTTCGGGATCAGGACGGGTCCAGCGGTGTACTCGTGGAGGTCGCTACCGCAGATTCCGCAGTAGGTGTTTCGCAGCTAGGCATTCGTTAGTTTAGGACGTGATCTCAATCTCAGTAACCATACCTTCACTTGGCCCTTCCCGCAGACAGGCTCTTCAATCTGATCCACCCTTATATCTTGAGGGCCATGAAACCGGAGTGCTTTGACGGAAGGCATATTTTGGTTGTGACAGAATGGACGAGCTGTTTACGATTAAAAGTGGACAAATGGTTCTGATGAAGTTTGATTCTGTGCGATAACCTCTACCTCACCATACCGGTGGCCTGGTTTATCAATCACTTAAGCAAACCCAAAATCAGCGACGTCCCCATGACGTACCGACCGAGCCATCGTGAACGACGTCGATTTGCCTGCGTGGCTGCCTCGTACCTGATGAGCCAGACTTTCAACACTAAAGATGAACCTGATTGATAGAAATGCGGGTTCATCTGACCCGGTAACGTCAGTCAAGCTTTGTGGCTTTCGCCGCGCTTGGAATGTGGGGGAGGCGCTTGTTAACATCGATGTCAGCGAACCACAAAATGCTCCAGATTTCATATCCACCGGCTCCATTATCCGCGAAATGTCCTCCTGATTCGTTTCACTGAGCGCGCGGATGCAAGAAGCACGTCTCCATGCACAGTGCACTGTTCTCGGTGGCGTCATATCTCCGAGATTGTAGCCGTTTACTGAATGGGGTAGTTCGCGGCTTGGCTGATTTCACCACAAAATCCTACCGCTAGTGCGGCGCAGCACTTCTCCGGATTCCGGGAACCGCATCCACCTGTCATGAAAAAAGTCCGGGGTTGTTGACTGGTCGCGATTCTTTTCCGTCAAGCAAAAAGTGCTCTCGATGTCACAGGAACAGTTGATCAGTCCTCTTTCTCCTGCTCGCGCTGTCGATCGACATATGCTCTTAAAATAGACTCGAGTCCTTCGTTGCGGCGTGCCAGCATCATCACGTCGGATACGTTGATCGTCGAACGGCCTGCGTGTCTAAATCATGCGTGTATCAGCAAACATGGAATACGGATTGAAACTGACTGCAGTCTGGGGAACTTACTTCGCGAAGCATTCGAGATCCTGACTCGCAGTTTCTGTCGGATAACGTCCATTAGCCACAATTTCCAAGGCCCCCGAATATGTCATGGCGTAAGCGGCGTTTTGCGTCCTTGCTCCCACGAGCGTAACCAGTGCCATTCCTAACTGCATCCATATCCTATATTCTCGACAAAAGACAGTGATTGGGACAACGTACCTATCTGAACCCAGACGAGCTCGGTCAAGGCACCGATAAATTGCGGTGTGGCGTTCATGCCGAGCTTGATTGTTTCCTCGTCTACGATCTTTCCAATCGATAACCAAAGGGCAGATTTCAAGCGCTGAAAGGGTCAGCTGGCTTCTTGTGTCCTTTGAACGCGACAATGCCTACCTCTTCAAGGCCGACATCCTCGTTTGTATCCATTTCCACGGTTCAAGGATCAGTATCCTGGTGTATTTGCGTAAGTGTTCTGGTGTCAATCTGAAATTGAATTACAAATGTAGCTCGGCGCAGCAGCACTGCGTCCAGGACAGCTTAAGGATCAAGACGCGATAACAGCAGCTCGACGCGCCTGGATGAGGGGCCGGAGCTATTCCGATCGGAAGAACATGATGCCGGCTTTGTCCTCCTAACCCAAATGGGAACTTACTTTTTTGCCCCGGGAGTGGCCAGTCTAAACAACTCATGCTTTTTGCTTTCGCATTTGCTTTATCTGGAACTCGAGAGCGAACTTGCGGGCTCACAGACAAATCCTGGAAATTGTTTCTACGACCCCAGGGCTTGACTTTCCGTCAGAGCTGTGATCTTCGCCATATCCGGTTTCCGCATCCCACCGTTCTCACCGAGTTACCCGGAAGCTCCATCCACTCCTCAGCCCCGACTCAAATAAATTCTCCCTCCCTTCTTTTCCCTCTTTAAGGCGAAATCGATTCCAGAAACGACCTGTCAAATTGATCAAACCCAACAATCACCGCAATGTCCGACTTCAACCCCTCCCAGGCGATCACGGACGCCATAAACGATTACTTCAGCAATCTCTATGCTTTCCTCGAACTCCTCGTGACCCGCTTCTGCACAAACCTCTACAAGTCCTTCGCGGAAGTTACCGCCTACCGCTGGACAAAGGTCATCCTCAGTGTCGTCGGCTACCTCCTCATCCGCCCCTACATCGAAGCCTTCTTCAAGAAGATGCACGAGCGAGACCGCAAGAAGCAGCAGGAGAAGGAGCGTGCCGAGAGAAAGGAGAAGAGGGCTAAGGCTAAGGTCTCGCCTAATGCGCTGAGAGGTGGCGCTGCAGAGGGCGAGGGCAAGGTGCTGGGTGAGGTTGAGAACACGGATGATGAGCTCGATGAGGTTGATGACCAGGAGAATGTCGAGAACGCGGAGGAATTTGCGACGGCTAGTGGGGTGCCTGAGTGGGGGAAGAATGCGCGCAAGCGAGCCAAGAAGCATGCGAAGAAGCTCGACAAGGAGGCTGAGGAGACCAAGGGTCCCAAGCTGACTGAGGACCAGATCAAGGAGCTGCTCGACTGGAGTGAGTCCGAGGATGAGAAGAAGGCTTGATGGGAAACATGCCCATCGCTTCTCTCTCCCTCAGACGCAATGTGAGTTCGAGCTCGTTCTGCGTTGGGGGTTTATCACGGCCTCCTCTTCTTTCTATCGGTTATTTTGTATAATATAGATTTCATATTTTCATTACTCTTAATGCATGGACGGCCTCCTGTTACATCGTTCAACTAACCCAACGCTTCGCCATCACCTTCAGCTTCTTGACCCCCGGTCCAGAAGATACTAGGAGGGCTGATTTGTGAGGACAACCCATCATGCATGTCAAGCCCTGATATCCCAAGCTCACCTCTCCAATAAAGGCTCCGTTTCAGATATAGAAGCAAAAGACTCCCTCCAGTTGGCGCAGTAACGCTCATACCAGAGAAGAAACGCCTGTCCAACCCCGAATATCCCATTATTGACCACTATCCAACCAACTGACTGATACCAAGTGTGCACGGCATCGAACGATCGCCAGTCCACATCGCCAATCGACGAAGGACTTCGGAAGACCCAGGATATTGCAAGTAGCGTAAACACCACAGATTGAACACCTAACCCCGTGAGACTCAGCGATGAAGGCGATGATAGCTCCCATGTAAGCCCACAGATCTCGCGAGCTTGAAGATATATTGCCGCAATGGAAAAGAGGGGGCTCGTGTAGTACACCATGTACTGAAGCATGGTCATGAACTCATCACTGGGCGTATCGTAAAAAGGCAGAAAAGGCCCGAGTACACACCACGCACAGGTGATATACTGACCTACAGCCCGGCGTCAGTGATACTCGTCCCGAGCAATCGCTTCCCTGGACGGAAACCGGAGACACATCGCGAAGCTGAGGAAGTACCGATTATCAGTAAGCCACACTCAGCAGGGTAAAAAAAAGGCACGCTGTCCTAGCTTACTACGTCAGAAACATGATCAATATAACAGTGAATTGGCATAAATTCATCCAGTCTCCTGCCGCCACTGGGTTATGAATGAACTTGTCTTCTCTGCGGCCTGGATTGACCATGATAGCATAGTCGAGGGCGAAATGCTCTGTTGCATTAGCTAGATGAAGCAGCACGTAAGACAGCGATATCCCCGAGCACGATCCCCGTGCCCATATAAGAATGAGCTGTGGTGCGAAAGACTGGATACTCAGGATGAGAAGGATGCTGTTGCTGTTAGTCGATACCAAGGACTTAGGGGGATGGGGCGTGTTAATGGACGTACATCTGCATCCAGATGGGAAGCATGGCGCCAGGGCTCGGGTATGGAGTGGTGCTTGCAATGAGTTGGCGTTGACTTAAAACTGTGTCTCTTGAATTAGGTCGGTGGAAGAGGAGAGAAGTGAACTTGTAGGTGCATATCACCACCAGAGCCAATGTTGATCTGAGAAGGATTCAGAGCCAGCACTAATCATCCACGCCATGCCCTTGACCTCACCTTCCATGGATATCTGGATTGATCAACTAACACCAGCAGGCCCTCAGCTCCTCGCTTATAGATACATATTCGGTCTCATAAAATTCATCCTATACATAGTGACATAAATGTGATAAGATAATCTAGATACAATCCTCAGGGAAGGCGCAAGGCACAGACGATATTAATCTAATGCAACCTTCTCAGCGCCTCAACCATGACCTTGACCTCCTCCACACTCTTCCCCACAATATCGACAATCTCTTTCTGCAAGGCGGGCTCGCAGGTTAGGAACCGTTCAATTAGCTCACCGTCTACGAACCGGTACGGCTCGGTAGCTTGACGCGTCATGGTGCGGAGAGCGCGGAATTCGGTGAAGGAGATGTCGCCGAGGGAGTCGACGCGGCTGGCCATAGTGGCTTGCAGGCGCATCAGGAAGTCTTGGTAGTCGGGGTTGATGGAGGCGTAGAGGTAGATGGAGCCTTCGACCTGTAGGGGAAGGATGTTAGTCTCGTCAAGGATGCCTCGGTATGTGAGAGCCCGGATAACGTACCGTTGCGAGGAAGGCCCTAGGCACGACCGTTGCACTGGGGAGTTGCTGTATATTGACGGGGCGTATCCGGTTGACCATTTCGTTCAAGGAGATCTCGCCGGTGACTTCCAGTCGACGTCGGTCTTCTTCCTCGACACCGGAGCGGTTGCGGCGGAGAACAATTAGGTTACCCTCTGCGTCACTTTCCAAATACGTGTCTGGTGCGATGGACGTAACGCCTGTGCTCCAGACTGTCTGGAAGTGTCGGGCCACTTCGACCAGTTTATCCGGGGCGCCGTTCTCGCCTTCATGGTATTCCACGATGCAGAGACTCTTCATCAGGTCTGAGACGGCTATGACGTTGTCCGTGACTGTTAGATCGACAGGCGCGGTGGATGTCCTGTAGCTTGCGAGTTTCTCAAGATGCAGTCCGCCGGATCTAGGGTTCACTCGGAAGACAACAACCTAGAGTCGGGTTAGAATAATGAGCACGGATGCTATGACAAACGTACCGTCTTGATAAGCGCAGCAACGATCTTATCACCCATGACTGCCAACGCGCGACAGGCTCCTTTGACCCGTTCTTCGGCGACCTTTGTGAGCTTCCTACCGTTATCCACTTCAAAGATGCGAATGTATCCCAGAGTGAAGGCTTTGTCGTCATCACCTAGGTAGGCACTTCCCACAATGAATCGATCCCGTGCCTCACCGTCTTTGCTGTCCTGGACTTCGGCTCGAATCACACATTCCACAATTTCTTCCGGACCAAAATCAAAAGCATCGAGACGCCTGAAAAGAATTTCATCTGCCAGCACAAATTTGCTCTTTACGATCTCTTCTCCATTAGCCAGCTTGCGTTCGATAGTTCCCATGCCAAAGGCTTTTTCTGACGGAGAGTATGCGACGCGTCTAACAGTGGCTTTGATCGGAAGCGTCTGGATTTGCGTAGTCCGCTCCTTGTCCACCAGGCCAATCTTCAGTTCTTGGGCTGTAGCCACCGCGATTGACTCTGGGTAAGCCTCCGAGTTGAAATGGCATATCCGCGATGCTCCTTCTGAGTTGACGGCAGAGTAGATGATGCGGCCTTCGGAACTGTAAATCAAACTAGGGTTTTCACAAGTGGCGAAGACGTTGGAAAGCCCGCTGCCCCTTGGTAATTTCTTGAAACTCGGTTGTTCTGAACCAAGAATGAGCTTGTTCATACCCGACAAATTATGGTCCTTGGGGTTATAGTCGTACGTTATAACGCTTCCATCCGCCATGGAGATAAAGAGCGTCGGTGCATGCTCCGCCAATACACTGGCCACAAGAACTGATCGTGGGAAAGCCTCGCCAGCAGGTCCAAGCGACGTGGTGTTAACGTCGGACAGGTCTTGCAGCTTCAACACTGACACTTTCGCCAGCTGGGGGAACCCGACGATACAAACGTCAGTCGGAGTTGCCGGTAGTGTAACGCCAGAAATCTGGTTGTCCGCGCCAAAGTCCTTTTCTGTTACGACTCGAGCCTCTGACCGAATATCCAGCACAGTCACATGTTCACCTCCGACGACGAGTACTATCGCATCGTCGTTGGCGGAAGCTGCCGTGATGATGAGCTGATTCTTTGGCGTCCACTCAAAAACGGTCATCCCGCCTTCAATGTCTGCAATGAGAACTCTCTGCTCGGTTACCTGCAATAACCGGCTACCCGGTAGATTTGCCGCAAGCAGTGTGTTCTCTGACAAACTCAGCCCAAGGAAGTTTTCCAACTCTTCTGCCTCCCCGTCGGGACTGAAGCGAAAAACTCTTGTTTCGTCCACAAACGTCACAAGGAGCGTATCCAAGAAATCACCTCTCGATTCGACTTGCAGCCCCCACAGGTCGGTGATGTGCTCCATATCGCCCAAGACACCCAGCTCTTCCAAGCCAACACCACTGCGTACACTCCGAAGGGTGCCGTCATCGAAAGCTCCAGAGCCAGTAACGATTCGAGCTTGGCCGGATGAGAACTCGTGCGTTTGACTTTCGCTGGTACGGTTTCCGAGGTCCATTATCGTGAAGTCTAGAATTGGGGCAATGTTGGACAAGGTCTGGATAACCTCGAACGATTTGTCACCGATTCGTAGAACTTGAGAGTCGCCTTGATGCGATCCCACAAATACCACGCCGCCGCCGAGATACACCAAAACAGAGGCTCGAGAGGTATTTCCGAGGCTGTGTAATTCCCAGCGCTCCACTTCAGAATTTCGAAGAACCAGCATCAAGAAAAATAGCCTCCCATAGTCGTCCGCTAGCAGCCATCTTTGACTATCGATTTGTTCCCAAGCCACGAAAATGGTTGCCTCTTCTAGGGGTTGTGATACAATTTCATTGTTGTCCGCATCGACGTACTTTATTGAGGTTTCACCGAGTATAAGAAGGCCACCTATATCGTTAGCAAGCCTCATTTCGAGTTGAAGGCGCCTTACCAAGTGGAGCAGGAACAGGTATGAGATGTGATGCCCCAAGGTCCAGCTCCTGGGCATAATCCGCGATGCTCGTAAACTCCGACTCGGCGCCTGCCGCGGCGCTATACTTTAGTTCTCGAACCTTGAGTTTGACCTTTTTCTGATTGTCCTCGTACAATAGCGCCAGCCGCGGCGATCCGGACTGCACATGCAGAAAAGCGGAGGAGCGCACGAAAAGCTCATCTATCCGAGTAATGACCGGTTCACCCAGCTCTCCAATCCGCGGTGCATCCGGACCAGTAGGCAGAACAACTGGTCGCCCTCGCCTTTTATTGGGTAGTTGAATAATGGGTATAACCACGATCATGCCATCGTAGATCTCCAACGTCATGAACCGGCCGCTCGGATCTTTCATGCACCGGCTCCCTGTTTGTGTTTCGCGAGAGGACGGATCGGCGATATCGACATAGTTCCTTTCCGTCTTGACCTGACTCCGCGCGCTGTCCCAAGAAAGCGTAAAGTATGAATACCGATCGGTCCCGACGAAAAGATGGTCTGTCGGGGAGTCCGCGGGTGCGGGGAGGCATGCCAGCATCGTCACCCGGGCGTATATAGAGCATGATGTAACGAGGGCGAGACCATCGGGTGTGGCAGAGTAGAATTCGAGTTGATTCGCTTTTCTGTAGGGATATCATAGCCGTCAGCAAGGGTCCCTGATACGGTCTGCGGAGCAAGCTCTTATCGGGAAAATTCAAGGTACGCACGCGACGACCAGGCACTCTTCCTCGGCGTTCAGGAAACGCAGCTTCAGTGCATGGCGAATGCTGCTAGCGCGGTGAATTGGCACGATATACGACATCCTGCTGGGTTGGGAGCGCCTGGGCTCCGAATTTGCGTCTCGACGGTAGCTGCGGGGAACGGAGCACGGCCTTATCCTAGGATCGGGACAGGAGGAATTGCTCGCAATGAAAGTATCAATCTCAAGGGAGCATTTATGTTTGCTTCCTCTCCTGCGTCAGGAGGCGCCAAGGTCGGGATAGATAAGACAAGGTTGAAGAAGCTGGGGTAGATGGTAGGTTGGGGAGGTATGCGGATCTCCCTCGGCGGGCGCGTTTATCTTGCAGAAATCTGATGACGCTCATTGCGGATTCCAGGTCTTAACTCCGCGCCAGCCCAGCGCTTCATCCAGATTAATGTGCATCAATAAAAGGATAATAACTTGAGATTTGTATGATATTCTAAAACTAATCTGCGCATTATTAAAAGGATATATGACTCCGAAATTGAGTTGTAGTCGTAGAGACATTCTGTCCCTTACAGCATTCGTCATACCATCTATCTCATCCATCCAGGTCAGAGCTCCTTTTGTGGTGGTCGACCATGAAAGGGGTAGTAAAGCACTAGGCATACATGAATCACGCCAAGATAACCAAGAAAACCGGAGTATATATGCAAAATCAATCAAGCTGAGGTGAGAAAAGTAAGAAGGTCGTGGGCTAAAAACTGTATGCGAATAAGCGAATCATGACCAAACATCCTCCTGGTAGCTGCCACTGCTACGCATGTGCTTCACCATCTCCTCTCCCTTCTCAGCGGGCAGACCACGCTGAGCCGCGATGATCTGGCCAAGGACGAGGTTGACCTCACGAGCCATATTCGCAGCGTCACCGCAAACGTAGAATGTCGCCTTTTGCTTGAGCAGGTCGCTGACAAGCTCGGCGTGTTCCTTGAGTCGGTGCTGGACGTAAACCTTCTTCTCCGTTTCGCGAGAGAATGCAGTTATCATCTTCAGGTTGTCACCAAGCTGGTCCTGGAAAATCTATAGTAATGGTTAGATGACATTCGATGTAAGTGTGCTACAGTACGTACCTTCCATTCATCCTTGTAGAGGAAATCTTCTTCGCGGTTGCGGCAACCGAAGAACAGTACAGTAGGGCCAACTTTCTCGCCACGGGCAGCCAAAGCAGCTCGTTCCTGGATAAATCCACGGAAAGGAGCGACACCAGTACCGGGACCAATCATAATGATAGGGCGCGAAGGATCCGACGGCAGTTTGAAGTTCGAGTGTCGGACGTGAACTGGGACGTGGATTCCATCATACTTGTTGCGGGGACCGGTAATAGCATAAGTCTGGCCATGAGGATCGGGAGAAGGATCACCGTTCTGCTTCTGCTTCAGAGCGAGGAGGTAGTTGGTGGTCACGCCCTTGACGACGTGAGTAGCACCGGGCAAGCGAGTAGACTCCACAACAGCGGTAACACTGATCTTGTCCTTCTGGACGAGAGATGAGGAGGAGATCGAGTAGTAACGCGGCTGAATCTTGTTCAGACCCTCAATGAGCAGGGAGAAAGGAACACTAGAGAAGGGCTTGGGAGTGATGCTCTGCAAGGCCTGGGCGATATTGAAACAATGGTTGGTGATCTTCTCATGGAAGTAATCCTTGTCACTACCGAGGCGCACAATTTCTGCCTTGGTCTCCTCATCGGGAGCAAAGGCAGCCAGAGTGGAGACGAACTGACGGGAAACAGGGGCGCAAACTTCCATGTAGTAACGAACGGCGGCATCGTAGGTGGTAGGCGTGGGAATAGGAACCTTGGCAGTAACATCAATGCCCTTGACGTTGATGACCGAGTGACGCTTCTCATCGAGACCAAAAACGCTGAGGAACCGATCCACCTCCGCACCTGCGTTGGTGGGCCAAATCGCAATGTGATCACCAGTCTGGTAAGTGAGGTTGCTTCCGGCGATACTGATTTCCATGTGCAAGCAGTTGCGGTCCTTGACAGTGAACAACTCGCGAGATTCGACGATAGGTGCGATGTATGGGTTGTGCGCAGAAAAGGGGCCCTTTGCTTCACCTTGAAGATGTCCCTTGGTAGGCTCACCGAGGTAAACGGAATCATCCTCAGGGGTTAAAGAGTCGTCTTCGGTAACGCTGAAAACCGGTTCGTAAGAAGCATCGCGTTCCTGCAAGTTCATAGCTTCAGAAAGCGCAGCCCACATGGGTTCCTTCCATGCCAAAAAGTCTTCTTCCATTGTACCAGCACCATCATCACCCTCACCAGCGGAGCTAATACGCTTGGCACCGAGTTTCGTCAATGCGGCGTCCACTTGGCGAACCATGGAGTTGTAGTGCTCATATGTATTGTTACCCAGACCGAAAGTGACGTACTTGAGAGAGGACAGCGGCTTGTCATCGGCGGCGCCGCCGCCCTCGAAGCTCACATCGTCGCCGGTGATAAACTGATAGAATTCGACAGCGTTATCGGTAGGCTCGCCCTCTCCGTAGGTGGCCAACACAAAGAACGCAACCTTGTCTTCGGGGAATTGGTCCAGGTTCTCATAGTCATACTCCTCGAGGTCAGCCACCATGGTCTTGAGGCCGAACCGCTGAGATCCTTCCTTTGCCAGTCTCGAGGCGTAATCCTCGGCAGTTCCAGTCTGCGATCCATAGAATATAACGCAGTTCTTGCCAGTCTCGTCCATTTTCTCAATGATGTTGCGGGTCTTGCCAGCCTTGGCCGCACCGTTCATCGCGGGACCGGAAGACGCATAGGGATCTTTAGCGACAGCCCAGAGGGTGCCTTTGGTGAAGTAGGCAATGCTACCAGCCAAGAGCACCGCGAGGACAACCACATCAAGAGTATCGAGTTGTGCCATGATGAAGCTCGTCTGCGACGGCCGCAGGGATCGACGGGGAGACCGCTCGGGCTAAGAGGGGACGGGGAAAGACACGACCCCTATCACTGGACCACGCTTGGCGGAGGGAACCGTCAATTCCGTGGAAGAAGGAAAGAGAGTGAAGAAAATGAGAAGGAAAAGAAAGAAGAGGTAAGCCCGAAGAGAGAGAGAAAAGGCCACGCAGAAGTAAGGAAGCGGAGAGAAGGTCGGAGTACAGGTGGGCGCTACTTAACTGGTCCGCATAAGACGATTCGGAAGACGGAACAGTCAATGGATGAACGTGATGGGGGGCAGAAAGTGATGACTGAGGCTGCAAGGCACCAAAAGGGACCGGGACCACTCTCACCGAGAACGGGCCCTGGGGCTGAAGGTGAAGGAGGCGTGGCCGTGAGGAAAAGTGCGTGTACTTGGTGGCGGGTGGACCGACACTATTGGGCCCAAATCTGAGATAAGAAAGTGCTGAAAATACTCCGTCGTATTCAGCGCTGGAGCCTCCGTATATATATATGCCGTTTGTACTCGCCTGCGCTGGCCGGTGGCTGTCCGGGCTGGTGACTGGCTTCGGAAGAGAAATTCGGGCTTGCCTCAAGGGAAAACTGGAGGTGGCGGCGGAGCGGGTGCTGCCATCGAAGCCATACGAGTGCATGACCCAACGATGGAGACGACCGCAGCCATGATTCTGGGGCTTTGTATGGGGAAATCTCCCGAGCGGCCTGCCGAGCAGCCTTTCTAGCCGAATTCCGCCTTCGAGCCCTTCAGCAGCTTGACGGTTCGCGGCTCACGAGGCTGTTTGCCGCAATTGAGTTGGTCTGTTTCTCGTATTGGAAGTGGCCAGTAACCGCGTCAATCTTGGATCCCCTGTGATGGAAATAGAATAAAAGCTGAGGTGAGCCCTGGCCCCTGAAACTCCGTGATACTCCGGCACAGATCGGATGCTGACCATTGCCGGGATGTGGCCTTGGGATGGGCACACGAGGACAATGACAGCCCTCTTCCTAGGATATCTGTTCCTGAGAACTACTGTTCCGCTCTTTCGTGTTGTTTGGGTGGGCGAGGAAGAAGTCCAGCGGCGGCGTTGCGGGATTTGCTGCTACTTGAGGATAGGGCGGATTTATTCCGCACAGCAGCGAGGTTGAACACCCTTTATTTGAAAGAGATGAAGCAGATTTCGTTTGAGCGTAAGATGTAACAAGATGATGATACTATTGGGTTGATATACATGATCGGCATAGCGCCTTTCCATCCATTCAGCTACCACGTTGGGTGGATATATATATTTATTGCTCGACTAATACTAACAAGGTTCTTCAAACTATGCCGGCCTCGTTCAAATGTGATAGACATAATTTCTTTCTTCAGTGACCCCTCGCAGGTTTCCGCGTATCGTTATTATGCTTTACGTAGCCTTTGGAAGCTGCATAAAATGCATTTGGTGTCTCCCGAGCTGGATTACACAGCACCTTTTCTCGAACCACTCGCAAAGCCGCATCCTACACCATGTAGTAGACAGCCGGAATTGAAATGACAGCTACTCTTAAGGTAATCAAGTAGGTATGCCAAGCTCGGAGGGTTCGCCTACAAAATCGTGGTGCATCCCTTTATCTACAGCTGAGGCAGAGGTCCGCAATCTTAGATTATACAGGCAATTTAGTCTTCGCCAAACATTCAAAGCAATACGCTGTACACTCTCGGCTGGCTACAAGACGCGGTTCACGCGGCTGCTCGAATGCAGGACAGGGATCCATGTGTTGAGGTCGGCTTAAGCTAGTATCGGGCATCCCCAAGGTTTGAGTGAACCGAGGAACTCAGGCACCAGTGGACTAAGGAGCTCTGGGCGGTAGAAAGCTTGGATCCTTGCGTTTGAGTAAGCCATAACCCGTGAGCAATTTGAACCTGGCAATTAGAAGTCCGGCTGGAAAAGAAAAGAAAATTGCTGTCTGACCCAAGCCAGGAGCCAGGAGTTGCAGTTGTCCAGCAGGGTGGCTCGTGCTCGGCTCCTCAGTTGAACCACTGCCAGGTGCTCAAAGAAAAGCTCAGGATGCCTCGCCATTAATGCCCGCCATTTCCCAACACCAACATCCCCGATCTTCGGGGCAATGATGACCTGCTTACGCGCGGCCTTATATTCAATCTTAGCTCGAGGAGTCGTGGAAATTGCTGAGCAATGACTGTCTGAACTGCAGGACGCAGTTCCCCCCAGTGCAACAGTATGTGACCGACCCCCGACCGTTTGCTCTGCCCCCACTGCTCCCTGCATACGGCCTTCCAACCCCCGAACCCAGCTACCTTGTCTTTCTGAAGCCAGAACGCGCTTTAAGAGTGGCGTAGATCTAACATGACGCTTGTGAAGTGACGACCTATCCTACAATCAAAACTGGGCCCGTTCAGTCGTCGCCAATGCCCCTCGTACCCGACGACCCGGTCTCAACGTCGCACCATAATCTCGCATCTCCACCAGAACGCCTAGTTACAAGGAGCACTCCGTCATCCACCGTCCATAGCCGGGAAACCTCCGCCGTCAGAGGAAGGGCACTCGATCCCTCCGCGCTAGCCCCTGCCACCCTCCAGCCTCAGAGCCGACGCCGTGGCCAGTCCCATTCGAAGAGTCCTGAAACAGCATCTGTGCGCCCGAGTCCTGGAAACGATGCCCCGCTGGAGCGCAGACCATCCAATTCGTACGGGCACCACCGGCAAACCTCGATCGTCCATGGAATCCAGCACTCCCGGAACCCCAGCTTCGCCGCGTCGACCACGTCCACGAGCCCCCTGAGTCCGGAACTCATCGCGAGCCTCAGCCGCAGCGGCGGCGCTGAGCAGGATATTGCTGGAATTGGTAGGCTGGATTACTCCGACATGCACTCGAACCATCACAGCCCGTCGGCCAGTGGCGCGGTAAATACACAAGGGATGCTGAGTACAATTGAGGACCGAGATACGGACGATGTGCCAGAAGGTGCCAGTCCGGTGAGTGTAGCCCACAGAAGGATGAATTCCGCCGGGAAGCCGTGGCGAGAACGTTCGCACAGTCGATCGCACTCCCGACACGCGCAGGCAGAGTCAAAGACTGTTGGCGAATATGCGCTACACCATCTGTTCAATTCTGTGAGTCAACAGCGGTCAATCTCCAGACGATTGCTGACGCGTGATAAAGTTTGTTGGTCTAGCAGACACAAAAATCAACCAGTCTATCATGAGGTTGGGTGAATCGGATACTCCAGTGGAAGACGTGTGCGGCCCTGGCGCGGACCCGAAATTCGATCAACTGATATCCGCACTGGGCCATATTGCTCGTCAAAAACCGAAGCCATTAATCGACACAATCATGTTTTGGAGGAAAGCCAAAGGTGATGCGGTCATTGGGGCCAAACAAGCGGCAACTCAGGTACGTCGCGCATCCCAGTGTAGCTGTCCCCTATAATAACTTGGTCTAGCCAAAACCGTCCGCTGAAAATGGCTTACTCGCGCGTCGAAACACGGAACCTACCCAAGCGGTACCCGATCCGAGCCATTCGACGAACTCGCTTCTTTCGCGGCATGACGATATCGTTCTGACAGAGCGCCGAGCTACCGTATCCGTGTACCTAGTGTGCAGAGTCCTGATAGAGATTTTCAACCAGAGCAGCCTTGAAGCCATAACGGTCGACATGGCTGACCGATTGGAGGATATAGTGTTTGGTCAATTGAAAACAGTCGACCCTGACCAGATCTCGGCGTCGCCGCTCCGAATGGCTAATTGGAGAATCTACTCACAACTTCTTGGGATCATGAGCGAAGATAAATTCACAAGCGTGACAAGCCGTTTCTTATCAGAGCTTGAACGATATCAAAAGGACGAAAGTTTACGAGGACCTTCCAAAGAGGGAGACGCACGGTCTGAGCTTCTACTATCCGGCCTGGAGCACGTCCGCATTAGGACGACCCCTGAAAAGTGGCCGAAATCTTGCGAGTTCTTGAGAACTTTGGCCCGGTTATTCGTCAACGCTCATGGCCAGCGCATCAAGCAGGCATACTGCAGTATGTTCGAGAAGTTACTGCTTCCGGTAGCAGCCAACCCAATCTGCGATTTGACTCTTCCCAAGTGGAAAGAGTTCCTTGACTTGATACACACTCGTCTCCCGCACATGTTGACTAAACCCAGGCACTGGGCTGCGGCTTTTCCGCTCCATGTTTTGCTTTTATGTTTATCGACAAAGGAGAACTTTTCGTCCCAATGGCTCTCGATAATTCAATCCCTCCCTGCCAAACTCAAAGACCGGCCTACAAGGGGACCGGCTCTCCAGGCCATGTGCCGCCTGGTGTGGACCTATTTCTTCCGCTATTCGGATTCTCCCACGGTGACGCTTCGCAAGATCGATGAGGTGACCAAGATAGCATTACCGGCAGGAAAAAGGACATACCTCAGTACTGACCCGGTCGTGGCAGAGCCTTTGGCTCAGCTGGTAAGAATGATAGGATTCAAACACCCCGATGTGTGTTTCCGAACCATCATTTTCCCATTGATCAGCTCCGACTATTTCTTGTCTCCCGGCAGGGACATCAGGATCGAACAAATGGAACCCGAAAAGATGGTGATTGGGATCCAGTCATTCCTCGCAATAATCACGGATTTGGAAAATTGCGACCAGCTATGCCCACCTGTGCCTACCGGCTCCATTCCTAACCCTTTTACCGATGCTACAGCGCACCTGTTTCGAACCCAGTCTCTCTTAGATTCGAAGAGCCCCGCTACCAATGACGTGCCAGATCAAAATACATCTTGTCCTGTCAACATTGCACAACTTAGCGACAACGTCAAGGTTCACTACTTCCGCTTCTGTGAGATACTAGGCAAAATAACACTGCTGTGCGATAACACTTTTGGAGGTCAGGCTGCTTTGGATGAGAAGTTTGGAGGAACTACGCCCAAAACGCCGATCACGGAAGCATTTAGCTTCGGGAGGCGGGATGACCACCTCAATGCCTTGGACCAGAGACAGGGATTCTATGACCTGCTTCATGTGGCGGTTCAAGCGCTTCCCCGCTGCTTGTCTGATCATATTCCTTTCAACTCATTGATCAATCTGTTGTGCACAGGCACCGCTCATGTGCAGCCCAACCTTGCTTTTTCTTCCGCTGAATCCTTGAAAGCGATTGCACGGCAGTCACATGCGCAGCAGGTTACCATGGGGTTCGCGAGGTTTATCTTCAATTTTGATGCAAGATATTCCACAATGTCTGATGAAGGGATGTTGGGACCAGGTCACATTGAGTCGACCTTGAGGCTCTACGTCGAACTCTTACAAATCTGGATCGAGGAGATCAGACAAAAAACCAAGGGCACTATAGCGGACTCTGGCGAGAAGAACGGTTCTGCGAGCCGCGCGCTACATCTTGATCTCTCCAGTGTCCTAGCGCAGGTCGAGGAAGTCGAGTCTCACGGCCTGTTTTTCTTGTGTTCGCAGTCGCGCGTGGTCCGGTCGTTCGCCATCACAGTACTCCGCCTCATAACGGAGTTCGACAGCGCTCTCGGAAAAGAAAACACTCGAATAATCAGAATCCTCGAGGCTGATTCCCAGCAAATTCTGAACGTCAACGACGAACATCTGACAGTGGCCGAAAGAAGCCGCATCCAAAAAGGTAAACGAAAGAGTGCTTCCCAGAATACTTTGATCGAGCTTTGCAGCAGCGAGGTTTCCTATGATTCAACTCTGTGGTCAAAGGTATTTCCGAACATCATTCGTATAAGTTTTGAAACTTGTCCTTTTGCGGTCACGCTTGGGCGAGAGATTGTCTGCGCAAGGCTTGTGCAAATGCACAAAACTATCACCGCTTTAGCAGAGTCACCGCAGAATCCTATGTCTTTAGATCCTGCGCAGGCTCGCTCCTTGGCTAGACACAACACGACCGCTGAGATCATGGTCGAGCAGTGGAAACTGTATCTGGTCATGGCGTGTACAACGCTCAACAGCGTTGGGGCACAGTCTCAAAGTCAATTGGCCAACGCCCAGCACGCAAGAAAATCATCAAAGGGCTCGTCGCAGTCGTCTGATAAAATAGGATCTGCTAGAAGCCTTTTTGCGTTTGTCATACCATTGCTTTCAGCAGAACGCGCGTCCATCCGAAATGCAATTGTGGTCGCCCTGGGATCTATCAACAAGCATCTTTACCGGATACTCCTCGAATCGCTGCAGTACGCTGTCACAACCTGCAATGAAGAAGCCAAGATTCGCATCGGAACGCATCATCGTACACCCAGCAGTCCCCGACGAAGCCGCAAAACGGACAGGCTACGGACAGAGGTGACCCACGTGTATAAACTGACCTCAAAATTCCTGAAGGAGTCAGAAGTATATGACGAGGACTGGATCGTCAACAACCTCGTTACGTACGCCAAAGACCTGCGGATCTTCCTCAGTGATGCCGGTGTTCAAAACGATTGGGAGTTTCAAAGTTTACGCTTCCATTATTGTGGATTGATGGAAGAACTGTTCGAGGGCATCAACCGTACAAAAGATCCGTCACGGTGGATTCCCTTTGAAGCACGCAAATCTTCCTTCTCTCTGATGGAGGATTGGTGTGGGTACTCCCCGAATCAAGGCCAAATCAACCAGCGTGAGGAGCAGATGCGGAAACTTGCCATGGCACAGCGCCAGGAGGCAGGTGGAGAGTTACGAAATACCGCCGCAGCCATGGAAATTGAGAAACGGAACCTTCGAGCAGCAGCTCTAGGCGCCATGGCGTCCCTCTGCGTAGGTCTTTTCTCTTCGTGGTTGACTCAACTAACATTCATAGGCCGGCCCCGTAAGTATTACCACAGAAAGCGGCGCAGTGCTCCAGTTCGACGTCGGACGCATGCTCTCCTGGATTGAGATTATCTTCAACACTCTCAGCGATAAATGGCATGCAATTGGCAGACGTGCGCTGAAAAATCTGATTCTCCACAACAAGGAACACACCTACCTGCTAGAGCGTTCGGTTGAGATGTGCTATGTCACAGAGCGACCCAAGTCACTGGAAAGCTATTTTGAAGTAGTAACCGAAATCCTAATCGAACACACCGACTATCCTTTGGGCTTCTGGAGAATCCTTGGAGCCGTCTTGGTCACGCTGGGTAGCCCCAAGCGAGAGATCAGGATGAAATCGGCCAAACTACTGCGGATCCTCGAGGAGCGCGAGCAAAAGAACTCCCGGTTACAGGACTTCGATATCAGTATATCCGACAAGACTACCGCGGTCTATAAGCTGGCCCAGTTCGAAACATCGAAACGTCTCGCCCAGCAGCATGCTGACTTGGCCTTTACACTGTTTTCAGAATTTTCTTTGCATTTCAAGAACCTGCGGCCCGACAGTCAGCGAAACTTCGTGGCTGCAATCCTTCCTTGGGTACAGACAATAGAGCTGCAGGTCGATCCCAATGGTGGACCTACGGCAAAATCGTACATGCTCCTTGCCAACCTCTTCGAGATTACAATTCGGTCAAGCACAATACTCCCGAATGAGGTGCAAGCTCTTTGGCAGGCTCTAGCCACCGGGCCACATGGAGGAAATGTGCAGTTGGTTCTGGACTTTGTGATTAGTCTCTGCCTGGAGCGCAAAGAACAGAACTTTGTGGAATATGCAAAGCAGGTTGTTGTATTCTTATCAGGGACACCTGCGGGATCAAAAGTGATCGAGTTCTTCTTGATGCAAGTCGGTCCCAAGAACATGGTTCAAGAACGAAAAGAAATCACGCCGGCACCTCCAGATGTCAAAAGCCTACCGTACGTTGCCGACCTCGCAACCGTGCTCCCAGTCGGTAACAAGCAGGCTGGCCTCTCTCTTGGCCAGGTTGCTCTCATCTTCCTTGTAGACCTCATGGTCGCTCCAGTCACCATTTCTCTTCCGGATATTGTGAAGCTGCTGCATGTTGTTATTATCCTCTGGGACCATTATACTCTTACCGTCCAAGAACAGGCCAGGGAAATGCTTGTCCATTTAATCCATGAGTTGATCGCCGCCAAGATTGAAGACAACGAACCGGTCAGACATTCGATCGAAGATTTTGTGGAGTGCATTCGCCGAAGTGACCCAAAGGTGGTTTGGGACTATGATGCCGAAATAGACAGCGATGATGACAGCCGGGTCCCGACCTCAATGGCTAGCGTTACACGCGCTGTGGTTGAATTCTTTAGCCTTGCGTATGATGGCATTACCGATATCTGGGCAAAGGAAGCCCTGAATTGGGCAACTTCATGCCCCGTTCGGCATCTCGCCTGCCGCTCCTTCCAAGTATTCCGTTCCATCTCCACAAGCCTCGATTCTAGAATGCTCGCCGACATGCTGGCTCGACTTTCAAATACCATCGCGGACGAGGAGGCAGATTACCGGACTTTCTCCATGGAGATCCTTACGACACTCAAGATCATCATTAGTTCTCGAGCACCACCGGATCTGTTACGGTATCCGCAGCTGTTTTGGACAACATGCGCTTGCCTAAACACTATCCACGAGACCGAATTCATCGAAAGTGTCGGCATGCTAGAGAAATTTTTGGACAGGGTCGACATGAGTGATCCCATGGTAGTCGGGGAGCTTATCAATGGCCGCCCGCCGAAATGGGAAGGTGGCTTTGATGGCATCCAAAATTTGGTCTACAAAGGGCTGAAGAGTTCTCAATCGCTCAATCGCACGCTGGACATTCTACATCGCTTAAGCGGCCTTCCGAACAATGACCTTATCGGAGACGGCAATAGGCTTCTCTTCACAATTCTAGCCAACCTGTCTCACTTCCTTCGCCAGTTCGACCCGAATGTGGACGATCCGAAAACGCTCGCTCGTGCAACATTACTGGCGCGCGTGGCGGAGGGTGAAGGGTGTCCTCGCCTCGCAGCTTCTCTCCTCGGGTTTGCGAATGGCCAGTACAAGGCCGAAAATGACTTCTTAAACCACATTATCACCGAGATTCGATCATACTACTACCCGCAACAGGATATCCAGAGCCTGATCTTCCTTATGGGCTTGCTTACAAACGCAACAGATTGGTTCCGAATCAAGGTTATGAAGATATTGTGCGCGGTGATTCCCGAAGTCGACATGCGAAGGTCTGATGTGACAAGCCACGGGCCTGATCTGATCTCGCCGCTATTGCGCCTTTTGCAAACCGATTTATGCCCCCAAGCCCTGCAAGTTATGGATCATATTATGACTGTCTCGGGCAATCCAATGGAGCGTCATCATATCAGAATGAGCATGGCTTCCTCGACCTCTTCGAGGGCAATCCGGAAAGAATACGAGCGAATACAGAGTCTTTACGGCATCCCCGAGCCAACAGGATGGTCTATCCCAATGCCGGCAGCCCAATCAGGTGTCACGCGACATAATGTCCACGCCGTATTCTATACATGTGCCGAAGTGGATCGCGTGGATGATCAGGAAGCCGCACCGGCCGAGGTTGAATTCCATGCCGACGACTACAATGACAGTTTCTTCCCCATGCGAGCTGATACCATGCAATCGATTGAAACGACGACAGATGGTAACATGGGCGACATCGTGCAGAAACTAGATAGTTTAGACGACTTTTTTGAGGACACGGAATCCTCCCACCCCACCCTCGATGCCTTGCCGGACATGGCATTGCGTGGCTTCGCAGGTAGTTATGTCGATTCTAACGCGAGTATATATGACCAACAAACCGCACCGATACTGCGAAAGTCCCTAGCGCGAACGGCTTCCACATCCTCATTCCACAACGGTCTTGTTGACTCTCGCCCTACAAACATGCGCTTTGACGGCGCCGGCTACCATTCCGCCGGTGCATCGACGCCTCATCTATCCACGCAAACACTGCGTCCCGTATCCCATACGCGCTCCGTGACCTCACCGGTCAATCATGTCTTTTCTCCAACCTCGGCAGGTCCGCAGTTCTCTACCCCACCAATCGGAGCCCACGAGCCCACCTTTTTCTCTGATGACGAGAACGAGGAGGGCTCTTTCGACTTTGATGAACGCCTAATGGTGAACAAACACCCCGTGCACCCTCTGGCCATGGCCAACCAGCAGCGCAGCGCAACAGACGGCTCCTCATCGCTTGAATCTATGATTCGGAGTGGCATGAGACGGCTGACCGGCGGCACAGCAGCAGGCCGAGACAAGGAGCGCCAGCGTGAGTTTGTCCGAGCCCAGCAACGGGCGATAGCTCAATCAGCAAACTCACCTCGCGTGCCGAAGGTGCCGGCGGAATACCTTGGTGGCTCTCCCAGCCATCCGAGCTCACCGGGGCAATAGTGTGTCGATGGCTGGGCTATCGGCTGAATTATATCTTGCTATAGCATGTCTTCTAATCAACGGGTGCCGTGCCTGGCTGTGCTATCTCGGCGTTCCAAGGGAATCGCATGTTGGAATTATGCATAGTCTCATACCCATGTTTGTCTATAATTTAGCGTCTCATAAGAGCTGGCGACTTCATCTTTTGCATTATACACATCCATTTGGACAGTTTTAGATCAATATACCATTTCTTTCTGCGGCGTCTTGATTCCTAGTAGAGCACACGTGACTCTCGGTTGTCGATACACCGGCCCCTCCGCGGCTTTCCCCGGTTCAGGCTTCCCCGCATTGGAGTACGAAGTGGAGGCCATTGCTTGGAGGTCGATCATCCCCCTGGGGTGAAGCTTTGATCATTTATTTACCGAAGGGAAGCCTCGGATATCCACGGGATTAGTCGGCCAGGCACGTCTGCATACCCCTCGCGAACCTTGCGGCTGATCACGTTGCGCCGTCGTCTTGACCTCCGCGGTCCAACTCCGCATTCTCATCTCCACGCCTACCATTGTCGCTTACAACTGGGTTCGAGCTTCACGGCAGCACAAGCAAGTTACTATCGTCAGTCTTCTCCTTTGCAGTCTCGGCTTCGAAATGAGACTCTCGTCCGCTGCTCCCGTCGTGCGGAGGGGCGCTGCTTCAAAATCATATCACTCATTCGCCCGCTTTGCTAACCGGACACCGCAATCGGCGAGGGCCTTTTCGACCAGCTTGCAACGCCATGATACTTGGGGGTTTATTGGCTTAGGGCAGATGGGTGCGCTTTTCTCGTTCTCGTTGATGGCGACACTGAGCCACTCAATCGCCTCTGAATGCAGCTGATACCAATTTCGCAGGCTACAATATGGCCAAGAATTTGCACGCCAAAATTCCTTCCAATGATACGCTGATCGTTCGTGATGTAAACGAAGAATCAACAGCACGCTTTGTTCGAGAGGCCCAGGAAACTGCCAAGAGCGCTGGTGCCGGTACTGTTCTGCCAGAGGTTATAGTTGCTGATAATGCGAGGGAAATTGCGGAGAAGTCGGTGGGTTTGTACGCATCTCATCGTCATAGCTATTTTGACAATAGTCATTTTCCCAGAGCGTGATAATCACTAGCCTTCCGGAGCCTCAGCATGTCAAGGACGTTTTTTACTCAATGATTCGGCAAGGCACCCTGCCCGCCCTTGACAAGGAACGCGTATTCATCGATACTTCGACCATCGATCCGGCCTCCACCAAGGAGATTGCGAATGCGATTCATTCAACATCGCAAGGCCGATTTGTCGACGCACCCGTTTCAGGTGGCGTTGTGGGCGCTCGCGCTGGCACTCTATCTTTCATGTTTGGAGCATCGTCTCGAACGGGGGAACTCGTGGACCGAGTCAAGGCCATCTTGCTCCTCATGGGGAAAAAGGCATGGCACATGGGTGGCGCCGGAACTGGCGTCTCGGCCAAACTCGCCAACAACTACATCTTAGCGATTAATAATATCGCAACGGCAGAGGCGATGAACCTGGGGATGCGCTGCGGACTCGACCCTAAAGCGCTGGCAGAACTGGTCAGCGCTTCCACTGGCCGGTGCTGGCCCATGGACGTTAACAATCCTGTTCCCGGCGTGATCGAGAGCTCACCCGCTTCGCGTAACTACGAAGGTGGATTTGGGATCAGTCTCATGAACAAGGACTTGCGGCTAGCCCTCACTGCTGCGAAGGAGTCTGGTACTCCATTAGCTCTGGCGGAGGCGGCTCGTGTTGTGTACAGTGTGGTGGAAGCTGAGCATCGAGGTAAAGACTTTTCTGTGGTATACAAGTGGCTGCGGGATCAGTCACAGCAGCAATGATAATATCTTTCTATTTTTGGCGTTCTGTTTTCCGGCATAGTCCATTTTCTGTTCGTTGCTGGGGTTGATGTCTCTCCTGGCTCCTTTACACCATCGACCCTAGATCATACATACTCCAAGCCAGTCTCGGCCAATCTAGGTGCACTACAAAGTTGTTTGTAAAATTTGCTCAAGTTCGGCCGAGTGAAGCTCTGCAGCCGACATTCTGCCAGTCCAACGTATACGCTCTCAACAAGTTCCAGCACATTCGGGGCACCCAGAGAAGAACCGACACCCAACACTCTCAATTTACGTGCTTTGAGCACTTTATGAGAGCCAATGCAACAATGAGTCGCCTTTACACAGCGCCGAGATCTTCTTCTGCATTTCTCTTTCTGTTACTCACACATTTTTACTTCTTCATCTCTCCATTCACTCATTCTTACTGGCAAACTGTGGTGCCTGCCTCTTGTGGATGCTTCACACGACACAAGAGCTCTTTCCGTCCCTTCCCTTTCCTCTCTTCAAGGCCTTGCCAGCTCCTTCCCTCTCCGTCTCTGTCCTCGATCCCCCGTCCACTCGGTGTTCATCTTTCTCCCATCTTTTCTCTTCCTCCCATCTCCCAATTCTTCCTTCATCAACTTCATCATCCCATCGTCTCTCTTAGCTATTCCGCATCCCACAACTTTCCAGCTTGCTAGGATTACTCTCTCTAGCCAGCTACCAAGCCTTATCCCTCTATTACGCTCATCTCGAGGGCTCCGGCTTCTCTTGACCTTCGTTCGTCGACTACGGTCAGAACCCATCCACTTCCGTGCTATTCTACCCTTCATCCATCTGAAGAAACATGTGAGTTGACCATGTCCTAAAGGAACTCGGGAGCTCGAGCTGACAATTCGTTCAGCTCCTTCTCGCTTGCCGCTGTCTCTCAAGCGTTAGGCTCTATCGTTGTGGTAAGTCCAACACTACGTTCGCTCTTTCTCGTCTGCTTTGAGACGGGACTGACTGTTGCCACAGAACTGTTATTCCAGACTCCTAGCGATGCCTGCCCAGACCCAGCAGCAGACTGCTCCCGAAAACGGCCCGACTCAGGCTAGTCACAACGGACAGTTTACCCATAATAACCGCGGTGCATATACTGGCGGTCATCAGCAAGGTAACCGTCCTGACCTGGCTTCCCTTTTCAGCGGCATGAACATCCAGAATCAAGGTGCCGGTGGCAAGTACAACACCCTCAAGGGAGGATTGCCCGTCGCCATGCCTCCGCCTTTGGAGCTTGCTGGCCCTCGTTCCTACAACAACCAGATCGTCCTTCTTCCCAACGGCAATGTCTTTCAAGGTCTTCCTCATGCTCCGATGTCTCCGTTTCCCCAAGGTGCTCTCCCCGGACACGACCAATTGGGCCAGATCCCGTATTTGCCCAACGCCATGTATCCTGGCATTGCTCCTGGCTGCGTTCCGCCAGCTATGCAGGGTTACCCTTTCCCATATCACCTCATGAGCTGCGACATGCAGGACCCCACCGGTCAGAAGCGGAGCCACTGGGCTGGCAACGACGAACAAAAGGGAGCAGGCCCCTCGGTGTCTGACGGTAGCAATCAAAGTGAATTCTTTGGTGCCCTTCCAGGTCTCGATGGCTCCACGCTTTCGGGCTACGCGATGAACAACATCCCTCAGGCAGGACAAAGCAACCTGCAACTCCAGATGATGAAAACCCCCACCGGCTACATACTGCAGGACCTTGAGAGCTTGGTTCAGCAAGAGCCTGCTATTCCCAGGGCCGTCCCCGCCATGTGGACGAATCCCACCGACTTGACCCTTGCCAAGTGCCTTGAGAACCGCGAGGGAATCACCAACGTCTACATCCGAGGCTTCCTCCCGGAGACCACTGATGAGATGCTGCATGCTTACGCTGGTCGCTTCGGTAAGATAGACCGTTGCAAGGCAATCGTCGATTTGGACACTGGTCTCTGCAAAGGGTTTGTTACTCTTCCTTTCTCTTGAACTTGGTGAATGCTACTAACTGTCATACCAGGTTTGGTTTCGTCCAGTATTACAACTTCGAGTCTTGTGAGAATTGCATTCGAGGCTTTTTCTACCTTGGCTACCAGGCTAGCTTTGCTCAGGTACGTGGCACGTCTCGGCTTCGGATATCTCTCTCGACACTGACCACGAACAGAAATCCCGCAACTCCCGCTTGAAGGATCTTGAGGACAGGTCGTCGACCAATATCTACTGCACCAACATCCCCATTGACTGGACCGAGGCAGTATGTCAATTGTCCTTGTTGCTTGCCGTATTACCAACTAATGCATCTCCACAGGACCTTCGCCGCCACTTTGAGCCCTACCGTGTTGTCTCCGAGAAGATCAGCCGTGATGAGAAGACCGGTGTTAGCAAGGAGGTCGGATTTGCTCGGTGAGTACTCTGGAAGAAAGCCGTTCCCCATTTCCTAACAAGTTCCAGTTTCGAGACCCGCGAGATTGCCGAGAAGGTCCTGGGCGAGTACCACAATATCGTCGCCGAGGATGGTGTCAAACTGCTTCTCCGCTTCGCCGACACCAAGGCCCAGAAGCTCCTCAAGCAGCAAAGCAACGAGCGTCGTGCCTATCGCGCCGGCGAGTACAACTACTCCGTCGAAGTGGTGCAGGGTTCGACTCCGTCTCCGTCCCTCCATCGTCTCCAGCAGACGGTCTCGCACATCAGCCCTACCTCTCAGATCAGCTATGTGTCTCCTGTTGGAGTCGGTGCTAACTGGACTCCTGCAACGTCTATTTCCCCATCGTGAGTATTTGAGCCCGTCCTACTGGACCGCAACTATACTGACAAGTCAAGCAGGGTTCCGCTGGCCAAGAATCCAGCCGGCAACATGCGCTACAACTCTTGGTCCTCCAAGAATAGCCCCGCTCCCCTCGACACCACACCGATGTATAGAGGCCGGCTTGGATATTCCAACCGAGGCAACTGGACCGACAACAGTGGCTCCTCGAAGACTGTGATGCCGAGCACTCCCTGTGCCGAGCCTCGTTCTGAGAGATCGAGCCCTCACAAGGAGAACATCAAGGCAGGTTCCCTGTCTCCGATCTCCTCGCGCAGAGAGATCATCGTCAACTCCCCACGCTCCGTCATGTGATATGACGATACATCACTTCGCTCACTGTTCGGCTGTTCAAAAGACGAGGTTGTCGCCGTCTGAGCATGAGAGTTCATCTGAAAGGTGACCACTGCATCCATTTACTGCCGACATTTTTTCTTTACTTTCCAGAAGCCGTGAAGAGAGAGGGAGGCACGAGCAACAGGAGATGAAACAACAACCAAAAGCATCATGGATCTACGGTATTCTTCCAGCATATCCACTGCACGTCTGTTACCGCCGGTCTCTGGATCCGCTTACTCGCTCCTATCGTTCCGTTTATCTCTTCCCCTCCCACTGTTCTGGACTTCTTGAGCTTTTGACGTGTGGTATCAGAGTATCTGTTCTTGATTTTCTTGACGACATCCGGGTACGACGAAGACCGTGATTTTTATTCAGGACTCGCATGTGTTTAAAAGTTTGTTTTTGATGGACGGTCGAAGATGGAAAAAGCAAGATGCTGTTATTTTCTGTATCTGTCTAGCAGTGTATCTCGATTTCTCTCCAGCAAAACAGCTGCTTAGTCTAGCATTAATGGAAATCTCGCAGCGAACAACGTCCGCTACCTCGTAGATAGTAGGTCACTGAGAGGGTTGCTCCGTGAAAGCCTCTTCGAACCGTCTTGAAATATACACGCTAGATGCGAGTCACAGACGATGATTGATGCACCGGTATTGTTCGTTTGTTGGAAGGATGCAGGTGGTGGCCTTCACCTGGACCGCAGGAAACATTCCCGATAGATATATTGGAAGAGAAAGATGCTGTATTTCCTGGCTTCGATTTATGTTCGCAATGTCAGGTGTCCGTTCTAGTAAGGATAAAGCTGCTGCAGTCGAGTGCCGTCTGCCCGGGGATGATGAAAAGAACGCCAAACGATGAGATCTATAAATAATGATATCCATGAACAGGGGTGGGTCCGGCAAGATATGAGTGTAATGCATATTTTCAACAAAGCAATCCCCCGGCGAAGTCTCAACTGCGGCCCGATCGCTCTAGTTTATCGTCCGTCAACTCGTACGCAGGCCGATACTCCTCCTTGACCGGATCCCACAGACTGGGATTCTGATGCGTATTCGACAATCCGCCCAGACTCGTATACCCCATATCGTACAGCGAACAATACTCCAGCTTCAGATGGCGCAGGAACGTCCAGATCTCCGCATACCGCCAGTCAATGACCGGATGGATCCGCATGAAGTCCGGCCACCCGCTATCCGTCCGATCAAACCACGTCAGATTCGCCCCGTGCGGGTCCGTCCTCCGCATGCCCACGAATATCGCCTTAATAGATGGGTTCCTGGCCAGATAATCCTCAAACCCGCCCTTGAGCGTTGTATTCGCGTTCTTCGTATACCGCGCCAGATCGAGGTGGTAGATCTGTTTCGACCAGTTCACAAACTCCTCCATTGCTTCGAAGGGATCCGCTTCGGCGACGTACATTGCCGAGATGAGCGGTCTTTTTGTCTCGTCGATGGAGGGGAGCTTTGAGTGTAGGGCTGCGAGGAAGAGGATCAAGAGCACGAGGCAGTCTTTCCCGCCGTTGTAGGAGAGCGCGAGCTCGTCGAGCGTGTATTGCGCTAGGGCGTCGGTGATGATGCGGAGGGAGATGCGGGTTTGGTTTTGGACGCGTGCGAGGACGGAGTCGGGGTCGTGCGTTTCGGAGAGGAATGTCGCTATCAGCGTGTGGCAGGCGGTTATTATGCTTGTGAGGGAGCTGGCGTGGTGTGAGGGGGTGGATTGCGGCATGTAGGACGACGGTGGTGGGTGCGGTTGTTGTGGTTCGGGGTCTGCGGTGGACATTGTTGCGGTGCGGTCGGACGGGGTCTGAAGGGCGTAGTTTAAGAGGGTGAGACGGCGGGATCTGTAAGATCGCGAGGCAGAGTGTATATAAGTCAATTGAGCGGAGGCTCGGGGAATAATATTGGAAGTGGGATGTGATGTGTCGGAGTTGGAGAGAACTTGGAATGTTCTGGTACGCCCCGCGCCCCCGCAGTCCCAGCTCGTCCGCTTATCAGTTGTCACCGCTACAGCCTCATGTTTACATCTCAGATCTGTCATCAAACAGGATTCCTCTTTGTCTTCTTGTATGAAATTGCGAGGAGAGTACGTACTTGAAGCCACTACACATTATACATTCAGGGTGATGCGATAAACGAGCTCCTGTCATACGTTGTACGCCGGTCAACGTTGATATATATGAGGCCCTTCGAATACCGTGCAAAGGAAAGCTGTTGATTATATAGATACTAGAGAATTAAATAAGGAACGCGATAATATTTAAAAGCTGGAGCTAACTAGGGTTTTTATAAATAATTTAAGCTTTTAAAAATAGTAAGAATTTTAAATACTTTTACTAATACTTTATAATATTTAAAAAACTATAAATATTATAATTATACAAGTAAGTAATTTAATAGTAAGTATTATAATATTTTAATTAAAATTATTTAAGGTGTTTAAGTGCTATTAAAGCGCTATAACACTTTTTTATTAAATTAAGTAATTTTTATTATTAGCTAACATACCCCCTTAACACCTACTTACTTTTAAATTGGTTAAAAATAAGGCTAAAAATATTTACTAAACCTAGTATTTTAATAAATTCCTAGTATTACTATTTAATAAGTGTTTTTATAAGGCTATTTATAATTATTTAGTTAATAAGGGTTTATTTAATATAAAGGTTTTTATACTAAACTTCCTGCCTAAGCTATAAATTATAAATATTAACATGGCAAAGCTTTAAGCAAAGTTATATATTAATATTAATAAAAATATTAATTATTTATTTATTATTATATTAAATTAAAAGTTAGTATTAAAAATTAAATTACATGGCTTTAAAAACTTTTTATTATTAGTATATTATTTTAAAGGCCTTGGTAAAAGTAAGTAACTTTATTTTAGTAGTAAAGGTGGTAACTAAGCACTACTTTATAACCTTTTATTTAATTAAATTTTTATATAGCTTATAAATATAGCCAGTGCTAAAAAATTAATTAAAGTAATTTATAAATATTATATTAAAATATAACTTATAAATTTTATATTTTTTAATAAGAATTTTATTCTTAAAGTTATTTAAATTAAAGTATTTAAAAGCAAGAAAGCGCGTGTTATAAAAATAAAAAATAAGTTAATTTACTACATGTTAATAATAATTTATAAAATTAATAAGGTGTTTTAACAAGTGGCTTATTATATAAAAAATATTTAAATAAGTAAGGGTACTAGCGTATTTAATAAATTTAATTTTTAATTTTATTTTCTTAATATTTTTAAAAATAACCATGTTAAAATTTAAATAAAGCTTGCTAGGTAATAAAAGCAGGGTAAAAAATAGCTAAACTATAGTATTTAAGTAAAATTAATTTATAATAGCTTTAATATAAAAATTTTAAGAAAGTTAAAGCTTGCGCTAAGGCCTATTTTAAAAAATTTAAACTTTTAAAAATTATTTAATTTTACTAAAATACTAAAGCTTGTACTTTACTAAAAGTTTTTTTTTAAAAATAGCTGCTGTAAAGCAGCCTTGCTTGGTAGGAAGGTTTATAAAAATAAGATTATTTATATATATTAAAAAAATTATTAGCTTACTAGTAAAAAGGCATTTTTTTTAAGTACTATAGTAAAGCTAAATTTATATAGGGTAGTAATTAAATTAAGTTATTAAAAATAAAAAGACTTTTTAAGGCTATAAATAGCTTTAAAAGTTTTTAAAAGCTTTTTTTTTTGCTTGCGGCTATTTAAAAATTAAAGGTATATAAGTTTATTAAGGCCTGTATTAAAAAAGGTATTAATAGTATTATATTACCTTATATTTATATTAAAAAAGGTAATAAGCACTATAATAACTTAAAAAAAATAGGTAAAGGCTATAACTACTTAATTATTTTTATAATTAACTAGTTTAAAATTTTTATATATATAAATTTAAGCTTTAGCCTTAAGAAAGTAGCTATTTATATTAAACTTATATATAAATACTTATAATAGGGGGATTAGCTTATTTAAACTTACTTTTTATTTATTAACTACCTTTTATGCTTTTATTTTTTTAAGTTTATTTAATTTAAGATTAATAGCTTTAAAAAACACATCCCTAAGTAAATAGTTTTTAAAATTTTTTTAGTGCTTGGGAGAAGGCAGTAGTTTATTTTAATAAAAATATTTTTTTTAGGATTTTAATAAAGAGTGGAAAAGGTAAATTATATATAATTATAAAAAATAAAATTAAAAGTAATTATAGTAATAGTATAGCTTGTATAGCTTATTAAAGTGCCTAAATAAAACTTAAAGTTTTTTTAATTATTTTAAGGTGCTGGTTTTTATTTAGCTAACTATTTAAAAAAAATAATAGGTCTAATTCTTGGTTCTTTACCTCCCCTTATATTTTTAGTAATAAAATAAATAGAAGTTTAGAAGCGGGCTTGCTTTACTTTTTATAATAATTATTAACTAGCTAGGTTTAAAAATAAATTTTTTTAAATTTAAAAGCATGTAACCTATTATAAAGGCTATAATAGCTTATTAAGGGAACTAGCTAATATTAATTTTTATATAAAAATTTTATAGTAATAAGGTTTTAAAATAAGGTTTAAAGTAGGAAAAGGTGGTAACCCCTTTAATAAATTAAAGGCCTTTGTGAAAACCTTAAGTAGGCTAACCAGGTACAAAACAAAGTACTAAGAGGGCTATTTAATAGGGGATTAATATTAAATCTTAAGGCCTAAAATACATAAAAACTAACTTTTAGTTAATTATTCTTTGCTAGGGCGTTAGCCTTAAATATATTATTAAAATAGTAGTAATATTATTACTATATGTTAAGTTAATATTACTATAACTTTTATTTTATTAGTTTTTTTATTTTATTAGGGCTTAACACCTGTAAATATAATAATTTAGCCCTTTTTTAATTAAGATTATCCTAATTTTTAAATAGCTTTAATTTTTATAATAAACATGTTTTATTATTGTTTTGCTTTAGTTTTACGTTTAATTATTTAGTTTTTTTATTTAAAATAATTTATTATTAAATACGGGGTTGTTTTAAGGCTTAAAATAATATTTTTTTATTAGTATTTTACTTTTAAATAGCTTTGCTTTTAGTGGCTAAAATAGCTATTTTAATAAATAATAAAAGTTTTAAGTTACTTTTTATTAATTTAAGTATTAATAAATTATAAATAGGCAGTATTTTATAAATAATAAAAAGGTTAATATAGTTATTATGGTGCTATGTTATTAGTGTTATATAAGTAATTAAATATAAAAAAATAAATTTTTATTTACTTTTTAGTTTTTTTTTTTTTTTTTAACTTTTTTAATTTTTTTATTTTATTTTTTTAGTTTCCCTATTTTATTTTTTAAAGTTTAACATTTTATTTTTTTATTTTTTTACTAGTTATTTAATCTTATGGCGCCTATAATAAGGTTTAAAATTTACCCCTTTTTTTTACTAAAAACCACCACTACTGCCACTAAAAATAATAATAAAAATAATAAAGGTTTTTTAAATAATTTAAAAAAAAAAGGTAAGTAAAAAAAAGGCGCTATAAATAGCAAAAAAAAAAAAGCTTAAAAAAAGTAAAAAAGCTAGTAAAACCTATAGGGTTTTATCACGTGTGCCTGTTTATTTAATAGTATTATAATATTTAATATACTTTTAATTTATACTAAAAGCTAGTAATTTAAATAATAATAACATACTATTTTAATTTAGTTATAAATTTAATATTATTATATTAATTTTATACAAGACTTATTTTTATTATAATAAAACTTGCAAGCTGGTAAGTTTTTAATATTTTTTTTTTTATATTTTATAGCTAATTTATTATATTTTTTAGGTTAAAGTAATAATAATAAGGGATGCCTATAATTTATAACTTTTTATTAAATATTATTATTTTTTTTACCCGCGGACTAATAACAAAGGGGTAAAGCTTTTTTTAAAAAATAAAAAGTATTAGTAAGGGTAGGAATTTATTTTTTAAATTTATTTTATAATAATTTAATTACTAAAGGCCTTTAAAAATATAAAAAAAGCTTATTAAAAAAAATTCTCCCTTTTAAGCAAGGTAAAAAAAAACTAGTAAAAGTTAAACCTTTAATACTATATAAAAGTATTATCACGTCATGCCTTACTTTTTATTATTTAATTTATAAATCCCTTTGCTATTAATATAGAAAATAATACTAAAGTTTTATAATTATACCTTTATTTTTTTTTTAGTAATTTAGGCCATGTTTAATAATTTATTATTAAATTTTAATTTTAAAAAAAAGTTAAGCTTGCCTATTAGGCTTATTTTATTAATACTCTAGATTTTAATACTAAACTTACTTATATTAAAATAAAGTTTTTTATTATTATTAAGGGTATTTARCCGGGTTTATTATATATTTAATATTAATAATAATGTTTTTTTATTTTCTTACTTTTTTAAAGTTAGTATTTTATTTTATTTCCGGTGCCTTTTTAACACCTTAATTATTTATTTTTATTATTTTTTAGTTTAGTTATACTAGGTAATAACTTAGTAATATTAAGGCCTTATTTCCTTAATAATACTTTATTTTTTTTTTTTTATTTTAGTACTTATTACTTTCTAGGTTTATAGTTTCTTATAATTACTTATAATTTAAGATTAAAATAATAATTTTTAAATAATATTTTATTAAGGTTTTTTTTATTTAAATATATTAAGTATATTTTAACTTAAAATTAGGTCCTGTTTTTACTTTTAACTAAATAATAAATAACTATCTTACTATACTTACCTTTTTTTATACTT